CAATTTTAATTATAGTACTATGCCGAATCATCACACTTATCGAATTATTCAAAGTTCGCAGAATTTACAGAATGAACAAACTCTTACTCGTTTATTTGTAATAACAGGAGAGATAGACATGCATGAGTCACATGAAAAAAAAATGATTCTCTATCTCTTTTCTTCTTTTATGATCTAATATAGCAAATATCTGTGCATACGTAGTACTGTTATCGATGCTTATCGATGTTAAATGTTATTTCTGTGTTATCTCCGCGGGCATAACTACGTATCTCAATTATGTATAGAATTTCGATCGGACTATGTTCCATAAATTTCGATCGGGTTGTAATGCTTATTCTCGCATGTAGAATGCGAGTCTTTGCATGGTAGAAATACTATGTATATTTAGCATGGCAATTTACGAAACGAACCTTCGTTCCTTCGTGCGGCTAGTCGTTATATGAAATATTGTCTTAAGGACTCTGTCTACTCCATTATTCTCTGTAACGGCATAAATAATAAATGTGATCAAGTTACTGAGTATCATTATAATGAACAAAGTAGAAAGTACAGGCTATAATTGATTGGAAAAATTAAAATGTCCTGGGACATATAATCTCGACTATTCGAGACAACGTGGAATTTACTGAATGAAATCATTTAACCTTTAACGAACGAATTGACTCGCTTATCAACTGAAAGAATAAAGGACTCGAATAACAGTCAAGATAGTAGTTCTGACCTCTTGTCAGCGATCGGATGATTCGTGGTTTTTTATTTGCCTCATTAAAATCAGTTTCCGTAATTCTTAATTGATGATGATAGGCAAAAATAATAAAAACTTTAACTTCATCATTTTGTCTTTAAACTTCATTGTTTCTTGAAATTTTTTATAATTTATATTCGATATCATTAAAAAAATCATTAAAAAATCATTAAAAAATTGAAATATATAAGAAAGTCAATAAGGCATCGATTTAGCGATATTTACGAAAATTATAATATATCGTACTTATGAAATTAAATATAATGATGGTATATAATTATAATATAGTGTGTAGTTATGTATATGTATAATATTTTTTGTGATAAAAATGGAAAAAAAGACGATATAAAAAAATTACGTTTATTATCCAGCAAAATCTTTCACTTTTCAATAAATTTTTGAGGTAATTGTGAACGATTTTAATAAATTTTTAGAAAAAAAATTTTCTAATGTAAGTACGCGCTGTCGGGAATTAATCGGAAAATAGCAATCTGAATATTTCGTTGGCTATTAAAATAAGTAATTAAAAATTGAAAGAGCTGATTTTTTGGCAACATAAGTAACTTGACTCGACATAATAAAAAATTTAATATATGTTTGAATAAAATATGCATATTTTATTATTTAGTAAACAAAATTATTAGGTGTACCAGCAAATACTTTTTCAAGGAAAAATTGCATAAGCTTTTGCAATCGCGTTTATATTAACTTTGTGTTTTGTTATAATAAAATTTATAAATATA